AAACCAGCAGAACTAGTTATATTGATCAGCGTATCAATATCAATGTATTGTTCTCGCATCTCTTCACAGGTGAACAGAAATGCCATTATTGCTGACAATACAACCACCAGTAAATATAATATGTTGTAAACCTGAAAAAAATATGACAATATAATACTATCCATTTTTTAAAACTTCAGTTGGGATCAGAATTAACTTTGAAGATTGGTATTTCAACTATTTTACAGTGAATCTAAGATCTGTTGTCCATTGTTTGAAAATGGAAATAAGACCGTTGTATTTGTGTTTTTGAGATTTATATTTTAAGGATATTCGCTCATCTGTTTCAAAATAACAAGCTTTTTAAAACTTAAAAAGCGGAAAAAAATGACAGGTCCGTGTCCTTGTTTTTGAGATTTAATCAATTGAAAATTTGGCGGAAAAATTATTATCTCTTGATTTTTCATACATGTATTGTTGACACCTTTTTTCTTTCAAAAACTATGAAAAAATAACAAGGATTTTATCAGATTTTCAAAAATAGCTTTTTAAACTATATGTTAAAAAATTATGAAAAGAAAAGTTGGGTTAGCGGGCAAAATTTGTATTGGCACTACATGGATGTTTTACATTGTGTCTCTCAATATGAGGTGAAAAAAGTTAGGAATTCATTTTGGTTATATAAGTGCAAATTCGAAAATGAGAAAAAGGAAAATCCCAAATATCATTTGAATAAAAAAATATATTTCAATAATTCATTTTGCGTATAGTATAAAGTGTTGTATGTTCTTGAATATGTCAATATAATTTTGTGTGTCTAAAGCGATTTTCTGGATTGACTTTCATCAGTAACGCTCAAAACCCAAACATTTGAAAGCCAATCACGCATAAGAACTTTACACGTGAAGAGTTTACATGACCAAAACATAAAAATAGCAAAATACCTCTGTCTAAGGCCAACTTTACCTGATGGAGTTGGAACCTTAGTTTTTTTTTTTTTTTTTAATTATTTCTGAATTTATCAACAGAGAATTTAAGAATTAAATGCAGTTTTAACTTGGCATTTAAATTAAACCGGATAGATTAAGTTTTGAAAATAAAGTTACCTTAGCAGGGGTTGATGTTAGGGGTTCCTCCAAAAATAGCCAAAGCCTATTTAATCGCGATTGTTTTGTCTCATTCTCATCCAACTCTGTTGTATTATGCATGTCAAAAGCATGTTTAATCTTTTTAATTGTTTCCAGTTCATTTTCAGAATTCAAAAACCTTGACCGGCAACACTCAGATATGCCTTCAAAAGGTATCTTCCAAAATTCTAATTCTTTCTCCACCAGTGAACCACATGTACCCGAAGGAATGTGAACTTCATTATTCCGGTAAAAGTCTAAAATTATATTAAACAGTTCCGGGTTGCGGTCAAAGAAGTAAAATCCTTTCTCAGAGATGTATTCCACAGACTGTTTGCTTAATAATCCTAATCGTGTTTCCGGATATTTTTTAAGCGTGGTATTTTCTGTAATGAATTTTATGCCCCCGACATTTATAATCGTGCATTTATCCATAGTTGAAACTCTTGTAATGTGATGCCAGCTGACCGCTTAACTGTAATGACTGTATCCCATGATATTAAGCACGAATTACTAATTGATATATAGTGTGTACGGAGTAATGATATAAAGTTTATCGTTACTTATGCTAATTAATGTTTAATGAAGCATTGTAGTGAGCATTATATATAACATTGTGAATGATTCTGACCATTGGGTATTTATCGTTTGCTTCTCGTTGTCCATTGACAACAATTCGATACTTATTATGGATACAATTAATAAACAAGTTTTACTTTTCCAAAAAAGGTAAGAATCTAGTGCGTCCAGTATCATAAAGTTACTTTAGCTCTGGATTTAAGGGTTATTACTAAGAAAAACAAAGGTTTTTTAAACAAGTAATTGTTATTTTTTTTTATTTTTCGGGTGCTTCGGTTATGGTTTAAGTCTCTCCACTAGTAGTAATATGATACATAAAAAAAAAAAAAAAAAAAAATATTAACCCCAACACTTTATCAATTTCATGCGTCCGAAGTGTGACATAACATAGAATAGGCTCCGTTCTGATGGTCATGTATGACATACAAACTTTCCCTGCTGGTTTTTGAAGAATAAATTAATTTTACCGAACCAAGCTATTTTCTTTGCAAATTGTTGTGTTTTGCTCACTTTGCATCTCAATGATATCCTTTTTCTACAAATTGCCTGAAACTCAATTTGTTGAAATGTGTTTCAAAATTTCAGTCATTTTACAAAATGACTAGGTATTTTTAGTCATTTTATATAATGCCTGTCAAGGTTAGGCATTTTATAAATTGCCTGAAAGTTCAGTCATTCTACAAAATGCCTAAATTTAGAAAATGCCTGTAACATATATATAGGATAGCTGCTTTCTACGATACATGTATTTTTCAATATATGACCTTTCCAAAATTCTGATTCGCTTAACCTCTTCTCCAGAACGACAGAACCAGAATATACCATGCTTGACAGGTGTGTTCCTGTGAAGCAAATGAAGGTCCATAACAAGTATTAGTTGTGACGATTGGAAATTCAAAATTGTCCCCAGCGAACGTACTTACCACGGGGTTTTAGTACGATTTTCAAAGATCTTATATTGAAGAACAACTGAATCACCTTAAATAAAACATACCAGATATGTTCCTGTAAGATCCTTTATAAATGTTATAACTTTGATGCCAATCAGAAATTCAATACGGCATACAATGGAAGTCAAAGTTTACAATAAAACCCTACTGGAAAACATTTTTTTTCAAAATTTCGTGTGAATGGTAGATATTTGATTGTTTCTGTTTGATTTATTCACAACTAGACTAATAGACTTTGGAGTAATTTAGAGCTGAATTAAGTATTGAATAGATAACTGTCTTCTATTGAAAATTTTATGTTGCCCTTTAGATGTCTTTTGGTTATTTTTGTTGTTTGGTTGTTGTCTCATTGATTTGTACCCAAAATATCCTTATATTCATATTTGCTTTTTTCAAGACCAAACATGAAGAAATGTTATTTTGAATGTACTTATCTAATCAAGTACTCACTTCAACACCAAGGGCTAAAATACTAACTAATTCCGTTAAAATGGTTTGTTCTTCCGTTCTTCTTTCGTTTGACAACTTTAAATACTTACTGACCTCTCGCAAATACGACCTATTTCAAGTAGACTTTATAATACCATTTTTGAGTTAAATGTCTATATTTTTGTTTTCATGAGCGTCAGTATTCAACCACAAATGTGACTACTTTCATAACTATCTTCCTGCAATAACTTTAATCCTGCTTTCCAAATTATTCGCTGTTTTTTTTTTTTATTTCTGTTGTCATCTGGTCGGTAGATGTGCTGCATGGCTTTTTTGATGTGTGTTTTACTTTTACGACATTTGTTCTAGATAGATATACAAAGGGAATGGGTATGTGCACGTAAAACTGGTTTAAATTAATCTCATGTTGTGCCAATACCAAAATCAGGCTATCTTGACCATGTGGTGTTCGTTGTTGTTTGTCTTTGTTTCTATAATAGAAAAACAAAGGATATGGGGTGTCCATCCATGACACAAAATCAGTACATGCACAGCAAAAAAACGCACAAAAAGCAAAGGAACAACGCTTTTATTGCTGTACTTCATCTAAAAGTCACAGTGAGGCCTTGAACATGGAGCAAAAAACTCCATATATTTTGGTAATTTAAGTATCAAATGAAGATTTATTTTTCGGAGGAGTCGGGTGATAGTGTGGTCTGATATATTGTCCAATATTTCTGGAAATTCCTGTTAGAACGTGACTTGAGTGTGATGTTCTTGTAAAGAAATGTAACAAGGGATATTATTTTGAAAAGGTCGACAAGGCCGCCGACAAAGGCCAATGTTAACATTGAAACGCTGTGGGAAATTACGTTTTAATTTCAATTTGAGAACTAATTAAAGGAAATGAAAATAAACATGCAGAAATATTCTTGTCGTTTAATGTTATTATCTTGGTTCTGATGACAGCCTATTTCTGCTATTCGGACAAAATACATCCAACCCCTAGCAATAGTACTAAGGACTTTATTTTATGCAGCACACTCTTAAGATTGCCATTCAATGTAATGTTATTATTCTTTTGAAACTTTGTTTTAAATAATTACTTACAGCTGCATTCCATTTTTTCTCCGTGAAAACATGTCACTGACTCATTGGAGCCGGTACGTCTGGTGTCTTTGCAACTCTAGAAAATTTCCAAAGGGTATATAGATCGTGCATTTGTACATAATTCAAACAACACTCACAACTATCAAATTTACAGCAAAATGATAAAGGAGCTACCATTTGATTTTTATGGGGGGGGGGGGGGGGGGGGGGGGGGGGGGGGGCTAGGATGAAATTTAAAAAAAAAAGCAGGACAGAAGTTTTGAGTAAAGAAAAAGGCAGGATGAGCAACTTTGCAAAAAAAAAAAAAGCAGGATGACAATTTATGTAAAACAAAGTCAGGATAAACTAATAAAAAAAAGGCAAGACCGAATAGAGTGAAAAATAAAAAGGCAGGACAGAGATTACAACTAAAAAAAATGCAGGACAAAATTTTTCATCCTAGCCCCCCATCCCTAAAAATCAAATGGTAGCTCCCTAAGCGACATTTTTTTGGGGGATGGGGATTAAACAATTGTATCTACATTTATTACAAAATTGTTTCAGTTGGAAAGTCAAAAAAACTATTTATTTCTATTAAAAACGAAACTAACACTGCTTTTGTCTCAAATTTGAAATTAAATTATGTTACTAGCAACGACGACAGGGTACGTCCTTTGCATTTAATAAATATCTGTACCCCTCCCTTTGTACTTTAACAGCGTTGTTTACAAATTGCATTGCTGTTAAAGATATATATCCGAAAATAACTGATAATGACATTAGATCTAAATAACAATTTCTGTTTGTATAAAAACATGTTAAAAGTCAAGGTACATTTATTTATAGATCCACGTAATGGAAATCCATTAATGATATAAATAGACTGTATCGGCTGTTGTAATGGTAGAGAAGTAATGTTTTCCTAATAATGCACGTAAGTGTTTGTTTCCTGTTACACTACACATATTACAACTGTTGCGTAAATGTTTTGATCTAAAAATTAAAACATAATTAAGTAGATTCTTTTCATGTATTTTAACAGAACGATTACACATTGACACTGTTTTTTTATAATTATATGTAGTATTTAGTAAATAATGCCTTTGAAATACATATACGTAGGCATTGACTATTGATCTTTTGTTAGTGTGTAGAGGTAGGTAATGGATTTTTCCAGCTTTGACCAACAACAACGAAAGTGTTATTTTCGTTTTCAATATGGAAAAAAATACTGTTTTTACTTCCCTACTGATTTAATTTTTGCAATCATAGAAACTCAAATTTTATAACTTCCCTACTGAAGCCATTTTTGTAAAATTAAATTTAGAGTCAAACAATTAACTTTTCGAAGGATTTTTTGCCAAAAAACTCAACACCTGTATAGGCCTGACAGTGTGCAGCAAAGCTTTAATTTTATTAAAGACAAATGCAAAATTAAGTTCAACAGTTACTGACTGCCTAGGTTGCTGCAGATAACAAAAACAAAAACTTTTAAGGGTAATAACTCTTTAATATAAAGTGTTATTTGATAATTTTGGCTATTTGACCTACTTGTAGGTTTTACTTTGATGAACATTTTTGCCTTTTAAAGAGTGTCTCTATCTGTCATAGTTTCTGTATAAAAAACTAAAAAAGAAGTAAAATTCATTTTTTCACTGACAACAACTCCTTAAAGAGATCAATTGATGATTTCGATCATGTTTGACTTATTTGTAGGTCTTACTTTGCTGAACATTTTTGCTGTTTGAAGTTATCGCTATCTATCATAGTTTCCGCAAAAAAAAAAAAGGGTAAAAATAATTTTTCAAGGGCAATAACTCTTTAATATAAAGAGTTATTTGACTTACTTGTAGGCCTTATTTTGCTGAACATGTTTGCCATTAAAGTTTCTCTCTATGATGTATCTATTGTAGGGTCTGCAAAATAATATGGCAAAAATAATCTTTCAAGGGCAATAACTCCTACAATGAAACAATTGACTATTTGGATTTGGATCATGGTTGACTTATTTGTAGGTTTTACTTTGCTGAACATTTTTGCTGTTTGAAGTTTCTCGCTATCTATCATAGTTTCCGCAAAAAATAAAAAAATGTCTTTCGAGGGTAATAACTCCTATAAAGTTTAAATTTACAATTTCGGCCACGTTGACTTATTTGTAGGTCTTACTTTGCTGAACATGTTTGTCAAGTAAAGCTTCTCTCTATCTATCATAGTTTCTGCAGAAAAAAAATATTTAAAAAATAGCTAAAAATTATCTTTCAAGGGCAATAACTCCTACAATGAATCAATTGACGATTTAGATCATGTTTGACCTATTTATAGGTCTTACTTTGCTGAAATTTTTATAGATGGATTTGGCTATTTTTTTAGGTCCTTTTTTGGTTTATAGCTCTTCAACGTTTTCGGTCCTTATACATTCTTAGCTTTCAAATATTCGGCTTTGAGCGTTCCTGATGAAGGTAAATCCAGAAAAGCGCTTCGGACGCATGAAATTTATAACGTGTTGTTTTCATTTTTTTTTTACTTATTTGTGGGTCTTACTTTGCTGAACATTTTTTTCACCAAAGCTTCTGTCTATCTACTAATATCATAGTTTATGAAAAAAACCTTATAAGTTTAAAAGAAATAGTCTTTCAAGGACACTAACTTCTATAAGGGATCAATTAATGAATTCGGTCCTCAGACTTATTGGTATATTTTATTTTGCTGAACATTTTTGCTATTGAAAATTTCTCTTCATCTATAATAGTTTTCAAAATAATATCCAAAAACTAAGAAATTTCATAAAAGTTACTATTTCAGGGACAATAACTTCAAATAGGGGTATCTGATTCATATGAAAAAATACCAACAAAAAAGATCTTGACCTGTTGATCATTTTAACCCTTTGTCAGTTTTGCTCTAAATGATTAAGTTTTTGATATAAAAGTTAAAAACTGCGTTTAACCCTCATGTTTTATTTTTAGCCATGGTGGCCATGTATGTTGACTGATCGGAATAAAACACGAAATTTATACTAGATACCATAAGGATCATTGACCCCAAATTTGGTCAAAATTGGTTAAGTAGTTTTAGAGGAAAAGATCCCTGAAAAAGTTTACGGACGACGACGAAAACGACGCATGACGACGCCTGACGGACGACGAACACTTTAAGTGATGGCAATACAAACCAATCTACAAGAATAAAATCAATTTTCATTATGCACGCAAAATACTTAAACAGAAACAAAATCAAAGATTCAGTTTTAACACAAATTCTAAATCATATAAATAAAAAAAAACATAAGAAAAAATATACTTTGTCGGGTGGGAAGGTGGGACAACTTTGCTGCACCTAGAATAACAGTAACTTAAAATAACACAACCGCCAAAACTATAGCACAACATATTTGAATTGATCGTATTTAAATATGGTCAGTTCCAACTCAACCAGAGAAAAACTTTTAACGAATTATAAACATTAAACGCGTGTATTAATTATAAACAAATACACGTTGTAATGCTTACATACCGGCGTACATATCTTTAAAAATATATTTAGTATTTTCAAAACTTCAATTTCAGAGCACAACTGCAAACAGCAATGCAGTCATATTTGAATTGATCGTATTTAAATATGGTCAGTTCCAACTCAACCAGAGAAATACTTTTAACGAATTATAAACATTAAACGCGTGTATTAATTATAAACAAATACACGTTGTAATGCTTACATACCGGCGGACATATCTTTCAAAATATATTTAGTATTTTCAAAACTTCAATTTCAGAGCACAACTGCAAACAGCAATGCAGTCGGTGAAACAAACATGGGCATCACAACAACGCGGGCTAAATATACACAGTACGGATCTTATAGAAGTCGATTGTCTACATTCCGTGATATGAAAAGTAACATTATACAGTCCAAAGAAATATTAGCACATGCTGGATTCTTCTATACAGGTTTGTTTTAAAAAAGGGTAGCTTTTGAGTTTTACTATCAAATACAACACTTTCAACAGTGAAGAAAGCTTTAATATCGTTTTGAAAAGATTAAAAAATGTACATCATGTTCATGTTTTAAATTATATACTAGTATATTCCTGCATTATTATGATCATTGTGTTAAAGTAATGAACATAAGTTCTCCTGCACAATTTTTGTAGTCAGTAAGTTCTGATACATACTAGTATGTCACGTCAAATAATACACGATTAATGCCATCGTTGATTACTGCATTTGCTTATAAAATAAGAAGATGTGGTATGATTGACAATGAGGCAACTTTTCTCAAGAGACTAAATAACTTATTCGTTAGCAATCATTGGTGACCGTACGGTCTGCAACACTCAACAAAAACCATACTTTAAAATTGTTGCTGCCAGAGCAATTTAAGATTAAGCTATGAAATCTACGACAAATTCCGACAAAGGTATATCTTAATAGAGTTTTAACATCAACCGAGAATATTTCATGCTTCATATACATATGTATAAAGTTTCAGTATCTGAAGTACTCTGGGTTGTCATTGTTTTTACTTAAAAAACATCATGCCATTGATTAATCTATGGTTCAGGACGTTGTCAACCAATTCCAACGGTATGTTGTGCGATTTTTCGAATATTTATCCGACAGAATACTTTAGATTATCGAACAGCAGAAGTTTACCAATCTACAAAAGAAGTGCCAAGGAAAGGTATTGTATTATTTAACTATACATCTATTTAAGATACATTCAAACCATTAAAGTTGATAATTTGTTACTCTCTAGGAACAGGCGATCTTGTTCGGTGCTTCTACTGTGGAGGGGGTTTAAGAAATTGGGACAGATCAGACGATCCGTGGACAGAACATAAACGCTGGTTTCCTAAATGTGATTTTCTTAACAAATTTTCGGACAGAGAACAGACCAAATCAGAAAACAATGTTTCAGCTCAATATGAACGTTCGGTGAGTATTCATTTCGTCATTTTTAGCTCACCTGGCCCGAAGGGCCAAGTGAGCTTTTCTCATCACTTTGCGTCCGTCGTCGTCGTCGTCGTCGTCCGGCGTCGTCTGTTAACTTTTACAAAAATCTTCTCCTCTGAAACTACTGGGTCAAATTTAACCAAACTTGGTCACAATCATCATTGGGGTATCTATTTTAAAAAATGTGTCCGGTGATCCGGTCAACCAACCAAGATGCCCTGAAATTTTCAGATGAATCGGACAACCCGTTGTTAGATTGCTGCCCCTGAATTGGTAATTTTAAGGAAATTTTGCAGTTTTTATACGATCGCAAAAAAATTTTTGTGGTCGTATATTGGTATGACGTTGGCGTCGTCGTCGTCGTCGTCGTCGTCGTCGTCGTCGTCGTCGTCGTCTGGCGTCGTCCGGCGTCGTCCGAAGACACATTGGTTTTCGCACTCTAACTTTAGTTTAAGTGAATGGATGTCTATGAAATTTTACCACAAGGTTCAATACCACAAAAGGAAGGTTGGGATTGATTTTGAGGGTTATGGTACCAACAGTAAAGGAATTAGGGGCCAAAAAGGGGCCAAAAATAAGCATTTTTGTAACTTCCAGACATAACTTGTGTGTTAGTGTATGGATCTCTCTGACATTGTACCACAAGGTTCCATATCACAAAAGGAATGCTGGGATTGATTTTGGGGGTAATTGCCTCAAAATTTTAGGAATTAGGGGCAAAAAAAGGGGCAAAAAACAAGCATTTTTCTAGTTTCATGACAATAACTTGTGTGTAAGCGTATGGATCTTTCTGAAATTGTACTACAAGGTTCCATATCACAAAGGGAAATCTGGAATTGAGTTTGGGGGTAATTGCCGAAACGTTTAGGAATTGGGGGCCAAAAAGGGGCCAAAAATAAGCATTTTTCTAGTTTCCAGACAATAACTTGTGTTCAAGTGTATGGATCTCTCTGAAATTGTACTGCAACGTACCATACCACAAAGGGAATGCTGGGATTGATGATGGGGGTAATTGCCTCAATATTTTAGGAATTAGGGGCCAAAAAGGGGCAAAAAACAAGCATTTTTCTAGTTTCAGGACAATAACTTGTGTGTAAGTGTATGGATCTTTCTGAAATTGTACTACAAGGTTCCATATCACAAAGGGAAAGCTGGGTTTGAGTTTGGGGGTAATTGCCCTAAACGTTTAGGAATTTGGGGCCAAAAAGGGGCCGAAAAACACATTTTCCTAGTTTCCAGACAATAACTTGTGTTCAAGTGTATGGATCTCTCTGAAATTGTACTGCAAGGTACCATACCACAAAGGGAAGGCTGGGATTAAGTTTGGGGGTGATGAATCATAAGGGGGTTCAAACAATTGGGGGGGGGGGATTCTTTTTTTCCTTTTTTTTTCTTTTAAAATTTTCCATTTTAAGTTGGTTATTTCTGATTTATATTTAAAAGCAAATAATAATGATATGGTAGGAGATACACACCAAACAGGATGTGTAAATTATTATATAATAAGTATTGTGCAATAGCAAGAAATTTTCAATTGCACAGTATTGCACAATAGCAAGAAATCTTCAATTGCACAGTATTGCGCAATAGCAAGAAATCTTCAATTGCACAGTATTGCTCAATAGCAAGAAATATCAAATAGCAAAATATTGCGCAATAGCAAAAAATTGTCAATTGTACAGTATTGCACAATAGCAAGAAATATTTAATTGCACAGTATTGTGCAAAAGAAGATACTTCGTATAAATTGCTTATTTCTTGACCAATTTCAATGGGGTTTTATTCTTGAATTTTTGGGGTTCTTTAATATGCTGAATCTAACCGTGTATTTAGTTTTTGGATTTTGGGCCCCGTTTTTAAATTGGTCCACATTGAGGTCCAAAGGGTCCAAAATTAAACTTTGTTTGATTTCATCAAAAATTGAATTATTGGGGTTCTTTGATATGCCGAATCTAACCGTGTATTTAGATTCTTAATTTTTGATTCCGTTTTCAAATTGGTCTACATTAATGTCCAAAGGGTCCAAAATTAAACTTAGTTTGATTTTAACAAAAAATGAATTCTTAGGGTTCTTTGATATGCTGAATCTAAACATGTATTTAGATTTTTGATTATGGGCCCAGTTTTCAAGTTGGTCCAAATCGGGGTCCAAAATTAAACTTTGTTTGATTTCAACAAAAATTGAATATATGGGGTTCTTTGATATGCTGAATCTAACCATGTATTTAGATTTTTGATTTTTGGGCCCTGTTATCAACTTTGTCCACATTGAGGTCAAAAGGGTCCAAAATTAAACTTTGTTTGATTTCATCAAAAATTGAATTCTTGGGGTTCTTTGATATGCTGAATCTAACCATGTATTTAGATTTTGGATATTGGACCATAATAGGTGAATGTCCAATTTAAAATTTTTAAGTTCTTAGACCACATTCATTCTGTGTCAGAAACCTATGCTGTGTCAAATATTTAATCACAATCCAAATGCAAAGCTGTATCAAGCTTGAATGTTGTATCCATACTTGCCCCAACTGTTCAGGGTTCGACCTCTGCGGTCGTATCAAGCTGCGCCCTGCGGAGCATTTTATTGGTTATTATCTTGAATATTATTATAGATAGAGATAAACTGTAAACAGCAATAATGTTCAGCAAAGTAAGATCTACAAATAAGTTGTCATGACCAAAATGGTTATTTGACCCCTTAAGGAGTTATTGCCCTTTGTAGTCAATTTTTAACCATTTTTCGTAAATTTTTGTAATCTTTTACAAAAATCTTCTCCTCTGAAACTACTTCGCCAAATTTAACCACAATCATCATTGGGGTATCTAGTTTAAAAAATATGTCCAGTGACCCGGCCAACCAACCAAGATGGCCGCCATGGCTAAAAATAGAACATAGGGGTAAAATGTAGATTTTGGCTTATATATCTGAAACAAAAGCATTTAGAGCAAATCTAATTGGGGTAAAATTGTTTATCAGGTCAAGATCTATCTGCCCTGAAATTTTCAGATGAATCGGACAAGCCGTTGTTGGGTTGCTACCCCTGATTTGGTAATTTTAAGAAAATTTTGCAGTTTTTGGTTATTATCTTGAATATTTATTATTCAGCTTCTCTGAAACTACTTGGCCAAATTTAACCAAACGTGGCCACAATCATCATTGGGGTATCTAGTTTAAAAAATGTGTCCAGTGACCCGGCCAACCAACGAAGATGGCCGCCATGGCTAAAAATAGAACATAGGGGTAAAATGTAGATTTTCAGATGAATCGGACAAGCCGTTGTTGGGTTGCTACCCCTGATTTGGTAATTTTAAGAAAATTTTGCAGTTTTTGGTTATTATCTTGAATATTATTATAGATAGAGATAAACTGTAAACAGCAATAATGTTCAGCAAAGTAAGATCTACAAATAAGTCAACTTGATCAAAATGGTCAGTTGACCCCTTAAGGAGTTATTGCCCTTTATAGTCAATTTTTAACCATTTTTCGTAAATTTTTGTAATCTTTTACAAAAATCTTCTTCTCTGAAACTACTTGGCCAAATTTAACCAAACGTGGCCACAATCATCATTGGGGTATCTAGTTTAAAAAATGTGTCCAGTGACCCGGCCAACCAACGAAGATGGCCGCCATGGCTAAAAATAGAACATAGGGGTAAAATGTAGATTTTGGCTTATATATCTGAAACCAAAGCATTTAGAGCAAATCTAATTGGGGAAAATTGTTTATCAGGTCAAGATCTATCTGCCCTGAAATTTTCAGATGAATCGGACAAGCCGTTGTTGGGTTGCTGCCCCTGATTTGGTAATTTTAAGAAAATTTTGCAGTTTTTGGTTATTATCTTGAATATTATTATAGATAGAGATAAACTGTAAACAGCAATAATGTTCAGCAAAGTAAGATCTACAAATAAGTCAACTTGATCAAAATGGTCAGTTGACCCCTTAAGGAGTTATTGCCCTTTATAGTCAATTTTTAACCATTTTTCGTAAATTTTTGTAATCTTTTACAAAAATCTTCTTCTCTGAAACTACTTCGCCAAATTTAACCAAACTTGGCCACAATTCATCATTGGGGTATCTGGTTTAAAAAATGTGTCCGGTGACACAGCCAACCAACCAAGATGGCCGCCATGACTAAAAATAGAACATAGGGGTAAAATGTAGATTTTGGCTTATATATCTGAAACCAAAGCATTTAGAGCAAATCTGACGGGGGTAAAATTGTTTATCAGGTCAAGATCTATCTGCCCTGAAATTTTCAGATGAACCGGACAAACTGTTGTTAGGTTGCTGCCCCTGATTTGGTAATTTTAAGAAAATTTTGCAGTTTTTGGTTATTATCTTGAATATTATTATAGATAGAGATAAACTGTAAACAGCAATAATGTTCAGCAAAATAAGATCTACAAATAAGTCAACTTGACCCAAATGGTCAGTTGACCCCTTAAGGAGTTATTGCCCTTTATAGTCAATTTTTAACCATTTTTCGTAAATTTTTTTAATCTTTTACAAAAATCTTCTTCTCTGAAACTACTTGGCCAAATTTAACCAAACTTGGCCACAATCATCATTGGGGTATCTAGTTTAAAAAATGTGTCCAGTGACCCGGCCAACCAATCAAGATGGCCGCCATGGCTAAAAATAGAACATAGGGGTAAAATGTAGATTTTGGCTTATATATCTGAAACCAAAGCATTTAGAGCAAATCTGACAGGGGTTAAATTGTTTATCAGGTCAGGATCTATCTGCCCTGAAATTTTCAGATGAACCGGACAAACCGTTGTTGGGTTGCTGCCCCTGACTTGGTAATTTCAAGAAAATTTTGCAGTTTTTGGTTATTATCTTGAATATTATTATAGATAGAGATAAACTGTAAACAGTAATAATGTTCAGCAAAGTAAGATCTACAAATAAGTCAACTTGACCAAAATGGTCAGTTGACCCCTTAAGGAGTTATTGCCCTTTATAGTCAATTTTTAACCATTTTTCGTAAATTTTTGTAATCTTTTACAAAAATCTTCTCCTCTGAAACTACTTGGCCAAATTTAACCAAACTTGGCCACAATCATCATTGGAGTATCTAGTTTAAAAAATGTGTCCGGTGACCCGGCCTGCTTACCAAGATGGCCGACATGGCTAAAAAATAGTACATAGGGTAAAATGCAGTTTTTGGCTCATATCTCTGAAACCAAAGCATTTAGAGCAAATCTGATGGGATAAAATTGTTCATTAGGTCAACATCTATCTGCCCTGAAATTTTCAGACCAATCAGGCAACACGTTGTTGGGTTGCTGCCCCTGAATTGGTAATTTTAAGAAAATTTGGCAGCTTTTGGTTATTATCTTGAATATTATTATAGATAGAGATAAACTGTAAACGGCAATAATGTACAGCAAAGTAAGATCTACAAATAAGTCAACATGATCAAAATTGTCAATTGTCCCCTTAAGGAGTTATTGCCCTTTATAGTAAATTTTTTACAATTTTCATAAATTTTGTAAATTTTTGTAAATTTTTACATAATATTTTCCACTGTAACTACTGGGCCAAGTTCATTATAGATAGAGATAATAGTAAGGAGCAAGAATGTTCAGTAAAGTAAGATCTACAAACACATCACCATCACCGAAACACAATCTTGTCATGAATCCATCTGTGTCCTTTGTTTAATATGCACATAGACCAAGGTGAGCGACACAGGCTCTTTAGAGCCTCTAGTTATTATAAATATTCGGAAGACTCAAAACATCTCATATGAAATTTCAGATTTCAATTGAAAATTGAAACTGCATTTATTACGACTGCAGACTATTCTAGTTTAAAGATAAGGTACAACTTAAATTGGAACTGGCAGCTTATACTGTTCTCTTAATGAATTAGAATTTGAAATGAAAATTAAAAAAGAGACAAAAAAAATAATTCCGGATGAAGCTGATAAAGAATTGTATTCGAAGTACTTTTTATATTCTTTATTGGAAACGTGCCAGTCGTTTTAATTTTAAAGCTGACATGAAAAAATGTTGGCATAAAATTAATGTTGACTACTTTTTGGCTAAATATGAATATTCAAATGTTTCAATAAAACTTGATCTCATATGTTTAAACAGCTTCAGTTGCCTATATACATAGGCCAAGATCTCGGAGAAAGTGGCGAAAATGCAGTAACTCTAGAAAATACAAATCTCGACTTCATCATTGCAGCCAAGGCAGTACTTCACTTAGGATATAATCGATCCGATGTTAGAAATGCCTTAGAATTATGTAGCAAAGAAACCAGTAAGCATACAGTAACATTAAGACAACACAAATTGTACCACTGAGTTTTACTTTGTCATTTTGTAGTGACACATGCGCTAGCACATATGTAAAAAAACATAAAATAAATAAGAACATTTCAATGGTAAATAAACAGGATAGGAAGTGTGACACAACCATGTATAAACTTACATGTCAACTAAATACCATCATCTAACCTTCCAACATATTTATAACAAACATCTTGATTTGTCAAGCTGTTGTTTAAACCAAGAAGATGTTGTATGATTGCCAATGATTGATTGATTGATTGTTGGATGCATAACGTCCAGTGGCAAATATTTCATGCATATTCAGGACGAGAACAAATTTAATAATAAATACATTAGTTGGGTCCTGTAATAGAGGCCGTTCGGGTAGAATGTCGGGGAAAATTGGACTGCCACTGGATATTGAGGATATATTGGATAGGGACAGAAATTTTGCCTTGCAACAGGCCACCTACAGATCCCTCAAAGAGTTACAAGGGTTCTTAACGTGCGAAGAGCGTGGCTCTCTCTTTGCACGAGGTTTCGGATTTAACGTCCCCATTCTGATCGGACATGGCTGCGAACTTGTACATCCCGCACAACCAAACGGACGCCCTACTTTGGCAAGGGTATTTCTGCCGGTCGGAAGAAGTCCAAGAGTGACAATATTTCTAGTCCCCAGTCACCATTGGGGGATTATTGCCTATACGACAACTTTCAACCAGAGTCCACATGACGTAAAAGATAGCAACTATAGATCACCGTACGGCCTTCAACAATGAGCAAAACCGATTCCGCATAGCAAGCTATAATAGGCCCCAAGATGACAAATGTAAAACAATTCAAACGCGAAAACTAACGGCCTGGTGTATGTACAAAGCAATAATCGAAAATCAAATATAAAATACAGAAACAAACGACAACCACTGAATTACAGGCCCCCGGCTTTGGACAGGCACATACAGAATAAGGCGGGATTAAACCTGTTTGGGGCAGTGATGCAACAGCACAACACAAAAATTAACTGTACACAACAATGAAAAAAAAAAGTAAATATTATATTTATATTGTTTCTGTATTTACAATGAGATTATTGATCAAAATATGAATAATTTGACCGTTTTATGCTGTTATTTTTTGATTTGACCGAACATCTGCGGTTAAAGGACTTGGCGTTATTGACAAGGTATAAACAATTTCCCACAAACTGGCGCCAGCAAGAATAGCAATAAAAGCGCTGTTCCGTGTATATAGGAATTTTGTATCATGAATTGATATTATAAATCCCTTCTCTTCTACTAATTAACAAGAAGTTATGATATCTAGGAATGATGGTTACCATCATTTATGGAAAAATGTCAATGAAAGACAAAATAAAACATATTAAAAGTTCCTGATATCCTTAACACAGTTTTTATATAAATTGGTAAATGAAATAAGTATACCTAGAATAGGATAGTTTCTATAACTATATATATGGATAAGAAAAGAATCGATAACGTAAACTAAACCAAGATTTAAAAGGTTGATCGGAGAACTTTTAACCCTTACCAAGTATAAACTATAAATAATAACGTTTCCCAGCTATAGCCAAATGTCCATAATGAATGTGTATGTTCGTAACGGAATCTCTTATATACCTATTTACCAACACGTCAAAATTATTGTACTCTTTTCAATTTCAAATTATTCAAATAAGGTCACCGTTTCAGCTAATTTTGATGATTTTGAAAATATATTCCCTCAGGAATTGTGACTTTTAAATATTTAATTTAATTTATTTATTTATAGGAACACATGTAACAGCACTCCAGTTATTGACGAAAATATTACAATTGAAACATTTATTAGTAAGCGACATTGAAGATAGTACGAATGGAAGTAAAACGCAAGAAAATGACGACTCTTTTATTGAGATTGGTATGTATAACTATGTACATGGCTTTGGTGCTTACATTTAAAATATTAATGATTTTATAAATGTACGAATAAAGTTACATTGAATTATTAAAATAATCTTTTATAACAAAGTGATGTTAGAGGAGAGATACAAGGAGTAACAATCATTAGCATTACACTTTGTTGAGGATAATGATTTTAACGAGGAGGTCTTTAGTGTTTGGTTTCAGCATTTAAGAAGTTTTAAGTGTTTTATTGAACAAAATACGATGTACCAAAATATCTTAAAAGTATTTGCAATTGTAAGTAATTGATTGTTTATGTATTTTTAAAGGAAATGATTGTTTTCATTACTTGTGATGGAATATCTAATTTCAGAAAAAGAAAACGTTGATTTGAAAGAAAAAATTTTCTGCAAAATTTGTCAACGAACTTCAGCCGAAGTGGCTTTCTTACCATGTGGACATTTAGTGACATGTAAAGACTGTGGACCAGCAGTGAAATATTGTATAGTGTGTAAAACTCTTGTGAAAGCCACTGTTAAAGTGTTTATGTCCTGAGTTCTCAATGACATTGAATAAGTTTATGAAATCATATCAATTTTGTTTGAAGAGCCAGTATTTATTTATTATTGCTTTAAAAAATTAAAAATATTATTTAAGAATATATTCAAGTTCGTTATATACCAAGATAGAGCCTATATATCTCAAATGTCATCTATGGCCAATCCCAAGAGGGTTCATCTAAGTCATTTATACAAATCGTAAACATTTGTGTATGTTCTTTGTCATTAATTGACGCCCAAAATGCTGTGAAATCACTTTGAAGTTTAATTAAAAAAAAATAGGAAGAAGTTTTACTCATTTACAGCAGGTCAGGGTACCCAAAGTAGATTGTGATAAGACTACCTTTAAGCATGAAATTATACACTATTTACATTCGTCTAACCCTCAAAATTAAGAACTTACGAATTTAAAAAAGAAAGAAAGAAAAAAGGAACAAAACGGACTGTAATTTAGTTAAAGATAGATCGACTTGAATAAAATTCAAGATTTGATAATTCTCATTATTCAATTTCATACTACATTTTGCGTAAAAATACAAGAAGATGTAGTATGATTGTAAGTGATGAGACAACTACTTTTTTTCCAGCAGAGACCAAATGACGAGGATGTAAACAACTATTGTTCACAGTATAACCTTCAACAATGAGCAAAAACTAATACCGTTTATTATACTCTAAAAGGCCCTGACATGACAAAATTTAAAACAATTCTAACTTTGGATAGGCATATACAGAATATGGCTGGGTTAAACATAAGAGTGATCACTTAACCCTCCTTTTACATGGGACAGTTGTATAATAACACAATTTAAGAAAGAAAAAAAAACACTGTAAAAATCAGTTGGATGTTGGATATGGCTTAACCAATCAGATTATTAAGAACAACAAAGAAAAACACACCAATCTTATACTACTCGCAGTTACTGAAAGCTAGTTCAAAGCTAATTTCAAAATAATAAATATACCTTGTTTTCTCAGACTAAAATATCAGCCAGTACACATCGAACGGATTTAGTGTAAACGCGTCATAAACAATCTGAGAAAAACATGACCTTTATGCCTAAATATAAGTATCGACAGGTTGTAGGATCGTAAGTGTGGATAACTATTCAACACTTTATATGTAGTTATGTTTTCAAATTCAATATTATTACCGTTAAAAATACTATTCAATGATCTTACTACATTGCTAAATTGATAACTTTTAAGCATAACATTTTTCAAATGGTCAATAAGGTTACATGCATCGTATCTAAATTTACGAGCTCTATAAACAACATCACCGTAAAAATTAGGATGTGATATCCTGTTTGCAGTAAGGTTTTTACATGAACAGTCAAACTTTCAAAACAAATCTTTGTATATTTTAACCAATTAAGTAATTATGTTTCAAGTTAATAAAAAATAGTTGGTGGTAACGGAATCCCCGAGCTAATAATTTATCAATTGTATAGATAACGTCCACTGAAATCTCAAACGTCACTACAGACATGGACATCACCGTCCAAAAAAGGAATATTAACATCGTCTCTATAGTAGTTTAGTTAGTCAATGCATGCACAGTACCTTCAAATGTTCACAGGAAGCTTAAGCTAAGACATGAAATAAAATTGAGAATGGAAATGGGGAATGTGTCAAAGAGACAACAACCCGACCACAGAACAGACAACAGCAGAAGGCCACCAACAGGTCTTCAATGCAGCGAGAAATTCCCGCACCCGGAGGCGTCCTTCAGCTGGCCCCTAAACAAATATATATACTAGTTCAGTGATAATGAACGCCATACTAAACTCCAAATTGTACACAAGAAACTAAAATTAAAAATAATACAAGACTAACAAAGGCTAGAGGCTCCTGACTTGGGACAGGCGCAAAAATGCGGCGGGGTTAAACATGTTTATGAGATCTCAACCCTCCCCCTATACCTCTAGCCAATGTAGAAAAGTAAACGCATAACAATACGCACATTAAAATTCAGTTCAAGAGAAGTCCGAGTCTGATGTCAGAAGATGTAACCAAAGAAAATAAACAAAATGACAATAATACATAAATAACAACAGACTACTAGCAGTTAACTGACATGCCAGCTCCAGACTTCAATTAAACTGATTGAAAGATTATGTCTTCATCATATGAATATCAGGCACAATCCTTCCCGTTAGGGGTTTAGTATCATACCATCATAACATATATGAGAAGAACATAACCCGTGTCATGGTATTGATATGATTGTATTATTTGACTCTGTAGAGCGTTGATATACTTTTGAAGAACTTCCATGTACTAGTATTTAGTAATTTACATTCTATCACCATCACATTGCACATCGTTGGCTGCTTTGTCAGCCAGTACGATCACAAACCGCTTTGCGAGTACTCGAAGCGTATTTCATATCCTAGAAATAGGCGTATTATTAACCCTTTTATTAATATCCAAATTATTTTCAAAATGTGTTATATGTATGCGAATAACCACATACATTTATTGAAATAATCATCAAGTGTTTTGTTTTGTCAGATTTCTCCCGTTTACTCTAATTTTTACGATAAAATGGAAGAGCATCTTTAATAACATGACAACACTCTTTCCGATTTATTTTCGATGGAGGATGATATTTCGGTTGTTTTCACAACGATTATTAACCATCGGTCTTGAACCGTGTTGATGTCTCCTGTAATAGCACGGTCATATGGTTATGTCTGCAATTCAATGTGTCACAATCTAATGTTGAAGGAAAATTATTTCTATACCGACGTCTGATGGTAAAAACAAGTTTTTCGCAGTGGATCGAGTCATTAAGATGGTATGGGAGTATAAATTAAAAATGATAGAATTTTTCATACTTTCCAAAACGTAGTATATATTGTGATATGTTCAAAAATGTAATACAAATGATAGGTCACGAGCATTTTCTCAAGCTTCAGGTTGTGACAAAATGACACATTTTGTATGGAATATACAGGAAAAAACATTATTATTTAGAAGCTAAACTAAATGATAGAATTGTAAAATAAATTACGAGAAGATAGCTTTTAGAAAATGCTTTGAGAATATCAAAAGAAAAGATAGGGTCACCGTACGTTTTTTTCCGGCTAAAATATAAAAGAGCAAAATTTCATGTAGATTCCTTCAGAAAATACAATATTTTAGAGTTACCTCTCCTTAAAATGCCAATTTAAAAACATTAAAAATCAAGCAAAAGTAATCTTACTTTGTAAAATTATTAATATTTATATGTTAAAATCTTCTAAATTTTTAAATAAAAATTCACATTATTTATCTGCATTCCGCATGAAAGTTTGCTAATTTGATTGAAAATATGTACCTTAAGTTCTCTGTTATTTACAATCCAAGATGGCGAAAGACACCCATACTACCTTAAATATACTAGATAAGTGTATAAAATCAATGTTTCGGTTAATGTGTTTTATTTTAAGAAAATGCCCTTAATGATCTTAAGGTTTATCATTACGAGAGAACATCCCATTTGACATAACTGTATTATGAAACGCGCACGTGGCACTAATATACAGTGAACTGAAAAAAAAAGTTATTGTATCACTTTCTTTGAAAATATTTTTTAATTTGATAATTGGTATGTCAGACATATTACATAATACAATGATGTCTACAATGCATTGTTTTAATATAGATGAGATCATCAAGTGTTACATTAATCTTAGATGTTGAATAAGTTTTTTCATGAGACCTAAGATTACGTTATCGTTTATCAATAATATTTATGATGTCAACAGAGGAAGCTTAAGATATATTTTCCTATTGTTATTCAGACCCATGGGCGATGCTGTCTATATTCGTTTAATCAAAGACGGCACAAGTTTAAACAGTATATAAATCTTGATTTATAATTGTCCATGTTGTTTCTTTGCGGTTTCGAGGGGCTGAAAGTTTATAGAATATGGAAGCGAGAAGGATGTTCTGTTCGTTTGAAACATTCACGTTGTCCTATATATTGAATGCCACATTGAGGTTTAGTTCATGTTACCAGATAAACAGAGCTTTGGGTTTATCAAGATAAACAGAGCTTTGGGTTTATCAAGTAATGTCAGTAATGTCGTAGGAGAAAGAGAGTGAAATGACCGACCAGTTTTATTTGAAGATAGTCTAAATACGGTTAGTCAATTTAAACAGCAACCAACGACAACGACTGAATTTCAGGCTCGATCCTGACTTGTGACAGGCACATAATGAATGTGCGGTGTTAAATATGTTTCTGAGCGCTCATGTAACCCCCTCCGTAGTCCTGGACATTGGTAGAGGGCATCAACATAAAAATAGTCTAAACTGTTTTGTTGAGCTGTGCATGAATGAGTTGTAACCTTAGTATAATTGTTATATAATTTGCAAGTTACAACTTGAAATCCTCCCCCCCCCCCTCCCCCCCCCCTCCCCCCCCCCCCCCAATGTTTATAATTTAAAATGGATGTATCAATTGAAGAACAAGTGTACCTATACCTATGCGAATGGTAAGTTGGTAACCTGGAAGATTGACAGTTCACCAGCATCGTTACCCTAGTTCTGTCACGAAATAGAAGTTCCTTCATAATATTAGTTCCGAATGGAATAAATATTCTGGAATATTATTTCCACTGGAATAAATATTACAGTATATGTTCCTAACGGAATAAATGATATAGAATATTTGTTCCATCAGGAACAAATATTATGACATTTTTTATAACAAAGTTTCCAGTGGAACTTCTGTTAGGTGGAACAAATATACGTTGACAGTTCATCGTGTTCATTGTACGTTAAGATATGAAAATTATCAATATACTGTTAGTGTCAAGTTTTAGTAAACACCTTTATAGCTTTCCAAGCTTTCCAAGCTTTCCATACATTTAGAAATACACTTTGTGCATATGAAATTGATAATGAAAAGTTCAAGTGAACCATTAGAATGCAGATAAAAAAAATCGTATTTTGTAAAGTATGTCCGAAACTTCACACTATAAACTACGAGTCACTGGACTGTAAAATCATTTAAACCACTATCACAGCGTTTATATCATACGGATTAAATATGACGCAGTTCGTCTGGTTATTGATATTCTTTTGTAAGTAATAATTTTATATACTG